CCATTTACAAAGAGGGTACGTTGCACTGATATAAAAAATCACGTGATATATGGTACAATTCGCCATATTAGACGTCAATTGCTTACAATCGTCTTAGATGAAGGATTATAATCTGTCCTCTAAATTAGTATTACGTAATGCTGTAAAGCATCTAAACAATGTGCATAAAGAAAGGTATATCGAGAAACTAAATAGCCTTCGACCCTTTTTTTCACAGACGGTCAAACATGAGAGTCTTGTGCTGATGTAATTTGCTGTTGATTCCTAGAGGGGAATTTTTGACGTACAATATGGCGGTGATGAATGAAACAAAGTTTTGTGTGATCACGTACAAAATATCTATAACCAATGGTTGTTCTGCTTGAGGCACTTGATTAATCCAATTTTCTACACTAAATGTTTAATGTAAAATAGTTAATAAAGACAGGAAAAGGATAACATTTATTTAAACACTGAGCGAGTCATGTTAGTAAATGAATTAGAAAAGTCAATAAAGCAATCCTGACGAAAGTTATGGTAACCTCAGGAGCTCTATTACAGAAGTCAGCGTCACAAAAACAAACTTCTTTTCTCAAGCCATTAGATACGTGTTGTGTGAAACAACCTTCCCTCTCGCTAGAAAACACGCACATCCAGGTAGCATTCAGTGTTACACCTGTAACATCATCAAATAAATACTTGTAAGAACTAGAAATCAATATCTATAAATCATATGCTACACAATGTCTGTAACATAATACAAGCAGTACTTGTAAAACATACAAAACAACAGATGAAACAACACTTGTTACACATTGAAAACAATATCCGTAACACATAAAAAAAATATCTGTGACACTTATAAGATGTGTGAAAGGGAGGTAATCATCAAAACGGAGCCAGTACTTTGATGGATAACCAACGAGCGCGTTAGCTATTTACCCTCCCAATGACATTATGATTTTCCTAATAAACCTAACATTAACGAAGTATGTAGATAATATTATGATTCTTCTAATAAACCTAACACTAACAAATTATGTAAATCACAGTATGATTATTTCAATAAACCTAACACTAACGAAGTATGTGGATGACAGTAAGATTTTCCCCATAAACCTAACACTAACGAAGTATGTAGATGACAGTATGATTATTTTAATAAACCTAACACTAACGAAGTATGTAGATGACAGTAAGATTTTCCCAATAAACCTAACACTAACGAAGTATGTAGATAACAGTATGGATCTTTCAATTTGTTTTAAATACCTTACCTGATGAAAACAATACCCATTTCACGCAAACTCCTCCATAGATGGTACAATGTGTACAGTTCTTCTTGAGAGCATCTTTTTTTGGCATAACAGGCATCTGATCCTTACTTAGAAGTGGATAAACTATAGGGTTGATGTTGGCTTCTTCCTCAGTATCATCAATGTTTTTCATCTTCTGTTCGATTTCCTGTTTATTTTCACTCACTCCATCCCAGGAACACTGGTAACAATTGATGGCATGTGAAAAACCTACTCGAGAAAACGAAGAACTACAAACATTGTTGCTATTCTTGTGTGCATACACAAGAGGAATATCTTAGAAAAATACCAGTTTACTGTAATCCACGAAACGCTGATTGAAAATGATGATTGGTAAAAGTACTAGAAAGCACTAAACACGTTTGGGACTAACATGAGGTTGTGATGAGAAATAACGAGACCCAAAACTCGAGCGCTTCGGAAAGAAGTTTTGTGAACTATTAGAAAGCGTTCGAGTTTTGGGTCTCGTTTGAAAACTATTACAACTTTTGTATGGGAGCTTGTGTGCTAACTTCTTAATCAAAGTTTTTATAATTTATTTATTATGGTGTTAATAAATGGACTTCCTTATAATTTGGTTTATACTGAGTCTAATAACTCATATTTACCTCCACTAGTCCACGATACTAGTCTTTTGCATACATTAAATGACGATGATACAAAGTCTTCCACACACACACGTATGACGATTATGGTATTAAACACCATACACAAAGAATAATGCAGAAGGATACGATGATACAAGGTATTCTAGAGATTAATATTTAAGTTGCCAATAATAAACGTTAATAGTGATACTAAGTCTTTAACGGACAATTAATAAGATGATATCAAACCGTCCACAAGCAAATGTTGTACCAATTAAAAATACCTGTTTGTGTTTCTTCACTTCAATGGTATTTTATGCATAAAACAGAGAGAAACACATTAGGATATAGGTATTGCCGTACCTAATTTTGAACAACAAACCAGTGGGAAGAAGCAATCGGTAGCACCCACTGCCTGAACTGGCTATTTTCAAATGAAGAACAGCTGCTACTCTTATAACGCGCCAACAATTAAGTGTTCAAAACGTGTTTGGCAGGGCCACGTATCGAGATTTTCCAATTACCAGTCAAACGTATTTTGGTATTAGTCCACACCTAAGCCTGCAAATTACTACAAAGACAATACAGTTTATAATTATATATCTTTCAACATACATTTTGTTGTAGCTATGTTTTTAATTATGATAGACGTTTGTATTGTTGATTGGTCAGTGAGGGGTTTGGCGTTAAGTGAATAGTATATGGATTAAAGTCTCGAATTTTCTCTTAATTCGTAGAATAATGTTAGATATAGTGAGATATATTGAGCGAATTCGACTAGATCTACTTAACGAGCCTGTTTGTGCATAATTTAGTCAGTTTGTTTGTTGGTGTTACCCAATTAGTATAGATTTTGAGTTTGAGATTGTGATGAAACACAAGAGCTACAAATTATCAAATAAGCGAAATTTCTCTTTAGATGATGTACACTTGAAAATTTACGTTTAATACTAATTACATAGAATTCTGAAACTTGTATAACTTGCAGTTGAATAAATATAAATAAAAATGGACTGTTCTTTGCATTATTTCCTTTATTGAGTAATCCAAAAGAACCCTCCCAACAATAGAAAGCATTACAATATATATTGATGTTATTTTCATATTTCTCTTAATACACATATAAGGATACCAATTCTCTGGAGGCGTGCAGCTGTTTAGAATGCCAAATTCTGTAAGGGATGGAGTGGTTGCCAAGGATACCATATCCACTGGAGACGTGCAGATGCTTAGGATTCCAAATTACATGGAGATGTGTGTGGCTGCCCAGGATGACAAATCTTCTAGAATATGGAGGGGGGGGGGTAACAAATACTTGAGAGGTTTAGTGTGAGTATTGAACGAACCTTAATTTCAAACTAAGGTACCAGCCATACCATAATGATCATAATGAACTGATATCCATCAACTTTAGAGGTTCATATTTGTTATAATATATTAGAGTGGTCCAAAAATAACAAGTTTTTCAATTCTACCATCTCACCCCTCCAATAAGTTTATTTTGTAAAAGCAATCTGCCATGCAGTTTCATTGGTGAAAGTTTAGTGGTGCCTCAAAAAGCTTCTCTCTAAACTCTAAAGTATTTGCTGAAGCCAATATCCTATAGTTTTTAGCTATACGTACACTTTTAGTTACTGACTAATATTGCTAAATAAGACTATTTTTTCGATATTATTTTTCAGACTGATATTTACAATACTATAGTTTACTATATATATTTGAAAAATTTAATTGTTTATTTGTTTGTAATTAAGCACAAAGCTGCACAATGGGCTATCTATGCTTTGCCCACCACGAGTATCGAAATCCGGCTTCTAGCGTTATAAGTTCACAGAGATACCGCTATGCAACTCTGGGGCTACAAATTTAATCTAGATCACAGGTATTTAACACTAGTTATACATATAAGCAGTTACTGCACATACAAAATTTATAATAATCATACATTCGAAATCTATATAGGAAGAAGCTGACAAGATGAAACTAAAAACGATCCATTTGGTGACCTTCCTAGTATATATATATATGGGGGGGGGGCCTTCTTACATAAATAAGGATGGTATTTTTGTGTTCACCTTGATACATAAACAAGGATGAAAATCTTGAAATCTGTCTTGACGCATGAATAAAAGTGTGATTTTAAAATATACCTTAGGCTTATAATTATAGTGTTTTTACAGTTTTTTATATATATGTGTGTATGTATATGAGGATGTTTTTAGTATTTTTGGCTTGATACATAAGTAAAGGTGTAACATTTTCCCACTTCTGCTTTTGCACAATAAATGTGTTAATGTTTCATATTTTTCTTGATACGTAAACTTAACACTTGTCCTGGTACATAACATTTGTCCCAATACATAAATAGGTTATGCCTTTCATATGCGTCACGCATATAAAGTTGTTTTATCGTATTTGCCGTGATACATAAATAGTGTTATTTCTATATCTGTCCTGATATGTCTTTTTTTTTCATGAATCGTTACATATGTTCAGCATTTCTTGGTCAAAGCATAACATTCCAATCTACGTGTACATTTTGATATGGATCCAGTATACCTTTCATGGTGTACTAAACAAATAAGAAAGCCTGAAAAACACTTACCTAGTAGATCAAGAATACAAAGAGCTAAAACAAGTCTTCCTGACATTTTACATGACTTCCTGCATAATACTAACGATACAAGTGTCTGATATAGAAGAGACTGAAGAAAACGTGCGCTGTAGAAACAACTGAACCTAAAACTTAGTCTATATGCATTGCGAATTGATTTCATTCGGTAATTCAAAAGAAATGCTAGCTCTGTTGACGCAAGTTGTACTTTTCCGTTTAATGTCACTTCCTCCTGGGCGATGCATTTCCTGTAACTCTTATACTTTTGTCACTTTGTTCCGGGGAATATATTTTCGTATCTCTGCATCATATGAGCATTTAAAATACTCTCTGATTTATTAATGTCTGTAACACTTTCACAACCTTTGAATTTTGAGACATGGAACAACAAAACTACTGTGATATAATTCACTTGTGAAGAACCAGTGGAAAACAGAAACAGATCAAATGGAGTGTACGAGACCATTGCCTAGGCCTGATAATTTGGGTTCTTGATTTGCAATCGGGAGGAAGGTTACTGGTTCGACTCCCGTCACCGAAAATGCTCGCCCTTTCACCAGGGGATGGGTGCGTTATAATGTGGTGTTCAATACTACTATTCGTTTGCAAAATGTAGCTCAAGAGTCGGCGGTGGGTGGTTTTGACTAGCTGCATTCCCTCTAGTCTATCACTTCAAATATAGGGATAGCTAGCGCAGATAGCCCTTGAGTAACTTTGCACAAAATTCAACAAACAAACACAGGGGTGAAGTATGAGTGAGTGGCGACAACACTTTCACAAACAAGAAATATGAATTCACTATTTCTTACTTTCGCAAAGTTTCGTTGAAGTCTTTGATACTTTATAGGAAATTATAATGCCAGTATTTCAAACCCCTTATTAGTCTTAAGGATAATATATATATATCCCCCTCTCAGTTGTTAGCACGTTAAGTGATAATTTGAAACTACAACAGTTGCAGAAGGTCTGACAGATTCCAGCTAAGTTATATTTTCGGAGACATAGGAAGTGGTTGAAACACCTGAAAACCTGGCTGTCCTAGAATTATTTAATCTATATTTAAGGAGACAAAAAGAAACATTGAGCTACATAAAGGTAACTATTAGAGTTGCAGATGGAGCTAAGAAGGTGTACCTCTTTTATACTCTTCAATAGATGCTGTTTATTTATTAACTTATGAGTACAGTTTCTGTAGTTATTAGAAGAAACTGAATTCTGTGGCTGCTACCAAAGATCAGGTTTTAAGTCTCTTGGTTGTTACCAAAGTTTATGGTATCTAGTCTCCTGAAAGCTCATGATGTTTAATCTTCTGTTAGCTTATGTGAGTTACATCTTGTTGAAGTTGAGGATATCAAAGATAATAGCAAGGAGATTGAATATTTTAGAGCAGATATAAAAGGGAAAAGGCTTTTAGTGGGAATTTGTTACAGACCACCATATGATACTGATGAAATTAGTAAGAAACTTTACAATGAGATTAAGATTTCAGCTGTTAGTGAAGTCATAATTTTGGGTGATTTTAATTTCAGGCATATAGATTGGGAAATAGTAGAGTCAAACCGTGAAGGGAGAAAGGTTTTTGGAAACTGTTCAAGATGGCTTTCTTCACCAATTAGTCAAGGAACCTACTAGAAACAATGCTATTTTAGATTTATTGTTAACTTCAAATGTAGATATTATCAAGGGGGTGGAAATTGAGGAACATCTGGGTGCAAGTGATCATTGCTCTATCAGGTTCAATGTTTTGCTGCATATGGAGATAAGGAATAATGATATTTTAGTTACAAATTTTAAGAAAAGCAAATTTTGAAGAAGTGCGGCAAGAATTATCTGTTGTGAATTGGGCAGCTGAGTTATTATGAGACACTAATCAGATGTGGAAAATGTTTAAAGATAAACATATTCCTTATAGAAAAAAAAGGGTAGCTGTAAGTAAAAACCAGGTTGCTTCACAAAGAGTTTAAAAGATAAAATTAAAGAAAAGCATCATAAATTTAAGAAATTTAAATTGACTGGTATAACGGAGATTTAGAAGATTATAGAAGATCAAGAAAGTTGGTTAAACAGGAAATTAGAACATCAAAAAGGATTTATGAGAAAAGGTTGGCTGAAAATGTAAAAATTAACAGTAAGGATTTCTTTAAATACATTAAGGGTAGACAAAATGTTAGGATGGGGGTAGGACCCTTGAGGGATGATAAAGGAAGGCTTATATCTGATGATTATGAGATGGCTGGGTTATTAAATTTTGCTTTTTCTACGGTTTTTACTAATGAAGATTTAAGCAGTATTCCACATCTTGATCAGTTGATAAATAGAAACGAGATCAACCAAGATGAATGCATTAAGTCTGTTAAAAGATACCTTTCAAATTCATTTAACAAAGTTTAGAATTTATTGGATAGTCAACACGGTTTTAATAAGAGAAAATCTTGCCGTACATATCTATTAACATTCTTTGAAAAGGTTACTGCTTATTTAGATGAAGGTAAGGGTATATATCTGATGTATCTGGATTTTCAGAAAGCATTTGATCAAGGTGCCACATAAAAGG